GGACCTGGCACTTGTTCTTGTTGAACCTCATGCCGTTGGTCTCAGCCCATGGATCCAGCCTGTCCGGGTCCATCTGCAGAGCCTTCCTACCCTCCAGCAGATCAACACTCCCTCCTAACTTGGTGTCACCTGCAAATTTACTGAGGGTGCCCTCAATCCCCACATCCAGAAGGATCGGTCCTTCTGCTCGGTCTCCTTACGCTCTGCTCTCCTGGCAGCGGTTAGTCCTCTGCGGGACTCAGCAGTAACTGCATCAGGCTCCTGATGCCACACAGGGTGGTGAGGTAGCTTTCAGGCTTTGGAATTGTGATCGTAAGGAAGGAGTTCATCAAAATGATACCAGCTATGCGGAGCACACACATACTTCCCCTGGGTATTTCCATCCAGGAAGGACCCCATCTTATTCTGTCCCTGCTCATAAATCACAGGGTTACCATCCCTATTAGCTCCTTTATCTCTTACACACAGTCACGTTTAAACTACAAATAGTTTTCAGAGGGGAAAAAAATATGGCAAAGAAAAGCTACGGGAAACCATGTGCAAATACTTTGTCTTCAAGTCTCCATTTGAGAAGAAAAAAATCAGCATCCTCTGGAACACGACTGAAAATAAAAACTCCTTGCTGTTTCATTTCCCTGTTTTCCCACAATAATTTATTAACCAGCTCCGCACCTCCAAAAAAAAAAATTAATGTGGACATCGCAGTGGGAGAGGCCTGAGCACAGCCAGATGGAAGAGGAAAATGTACCCACATTTTGGGTCCATGTTCTAAGCACTGCAGCTTAAGAGAAAAAGAAATAACATCACTTTTTTTCCCACTACATTTCTGGGCAGATCTAACCTGAAAAATATTTCCAGCCAAAGGTTATTTGAAGAAGCTGACCCAGATTTGTGAATATTTTTGGACAAGTAAAATGACATTTACTATTCATTGAGGGGGGGAAAAAAAGAAAAGAAAAAAAAATCACATAGCTCTCCTCTTAATTGATTGTAATCTCTCCGAAAGTCTCTGTTGGCTAAACATTGTGGTTTATTTGTTTGCTTTTACCTTGCAAAATTGAAAAGGACAATTTGGATTGTACACTTTAATTTTATCTAAAATTCCCATAAAGAACTTAGCTATTAAGTAGATGAACAATATCCTGTGACAAGGGGTTAGCTCAATAGTATGATATAAAAACACAGCCCCAAGGATTATGGTTCTATTAGACAGGATTAACACCTTTCACTGGCTTGTCAACCCAGCCAAATGTGCCCTGCAGCATGGAGCGGGAGGGAGAGAAAGAAGGCGGCTGGGATTCACAGCAATATTGGGAAAGTATAAAATAGTCTCACACAGCGATCTCTAAACATACACTGACCTTTCTGTTGCATTCAATCACTTCAAGATGTCTGGTAGGAATAACTGTATATTAAAGTGCAGATGTGCTGCAAATACTTTAAAAGGAACAAGAGGAAAAACATTGTTGATGGTTGGTCTTACCTAGAAACAGCTTGAGCACAGGGAAATCAGTTATTCTTTTTCGACCCTTGAAACAACCTTATACCCTACATGTGCAGAAGCCTTTGGCTATTTTGTAGTGTACTTCAATGTTGCTTCATCCCTATTAAATATTAATAAGGGTTACAGGAGGATTTCCACTATTCTAGATAATGGTCTTGTTGCACTGGAGAGCACGAAATAGGGCTGCTTCAGCAATTCTCTATACTAACTTTTTCCATTAAGTAATCAATAGCTACCACCTCTTAACAATGTATTCAACCCCATTATACTGATAACAAAAAGCAGATTTAGGAGCTCTGGGCTGCAAAGGGATCAGGACTATTACTTTCAGTAGTGTCAGTCACTGCATTAGTGTCAGGGAACACCTACTTTGTGAAGAAACGCACAGGCCTGATTTCCAGGGGAAGGGAAGCTTCTAAAGCATAGGCAAAGCTGCTAGGAGAAAATATGCTATTGACTTTTGATAGTAGGATTCAGCATCCTATAAAGTTAAGGGTTTTTTTTCTGGCTAGATTCATGCAAGAGCTACCAATGGATACATTAAGCCAACATGAATTTGCTCAGTAAAATCTAATGGAGGCAAGGGCAGGGGAGAAACACTTTTATTTTCCCACACAAGGACTGATCAAATAATTTCTACAAACCAATGCATTAACTTTCATTCCTTCCCCTTCGGTATACCAAATTAGCATAATAGAAAATATCAAACATACTTTTCAGTATTTTAAATGCTTCTTCCATCTTTTCCTATATCTTCAATTCCCTGAAACTCAGGAACTTTAAATAATCATTTTAAAGGTGTAAGTGCCGTGTAATTGCTGCTTATTTTAATTTGGATAGTCTGCAGCTGGTGATCTGGTTTATCTGTAAATAGCCTATCATTTTCCCCAGGAAATGGTATGGTATACAAATAGAAAAA